CCCCTGGTGGCTGCTGCCTGGGCTGACCCCACTGGGACTGGACGTGCTCAGCTTGCTCCCTGAGCCCTGCGGACCTTAGGTTTGCAGACTTGGGGTGCGTTTTCCTAGCTGCTGCCTCCACGCCTGGCACATCAGGACGCGAGAAGAAGCAGAGTTTGGGAAAGGCATTTGGTCCCCGCGCCCACGCAGAGCCTGGTGTCTGCACCATCCCCAGCAACCCTCTCTGGACACCTGGGCCTGGCCGTCTCTGGCGTGTCCTGTCCGCAGGAAGTGGGAGCGCAGCTGCTCAGGGTGCTGCTCAGAACTCCACCACCCTTCTGCCCACCTGACCGGCAGCCCAGGGAGGGTGGGAAGTGGTGAGTTGGCCCGGGGCTGCCTGAGGTTGGGCGTGGCTGTGACTCCCGCATGGGGCTCCTCTGACCACATCCAGGCTTGGCTGGAATTTGCTCCCCTCCAAGCGCGGGCTCTCCGACCCGGAGAAGAACCCAGCCACCCCCAGGGTCTGTAGGCCCCTGGCCGCAGGCTTGGCGAGGAAGCTGGTGCCTGGGCTGGTGCTGGGCAGTGGAGGCTTCCTGGGCTCCACCCGGGGCTGCGCCTCCTCCAGGCCCTGAGCCCTGCCCTCCATGTCCCCGGAAGGCGCCAGGGCCTCTTAGTTTCCACTGGAGTCAGGGGAGCCTCAGACTCCCCGGTGCAGGCTCTGCCCAGACCCAGGCCCAGGCGTGGTGTGGGCACCGCGGTGGCAGCGTTACTGTGTGTCCCCGTGGGGCAGGCAGTCAGGGACCCACTGCCTCCCCAGGCGGGAACCCCGATCCTCTGCCACCCGCGAGGGCTGAATCCACTGTGGCTTCCAGACACTCCGCCATCTTCTGCCCTGGTTCGGCCCTCCCTAGCCGCCCTGCCTGGGGCCTGTCCCGTAGGGAGGGGGTGATCAAAGGCACAGAGCCCCCTTCCCTTCCCGGGGCCCCAGCAGCCTCAGGCCCCCTGTGGGAAAGGCTCCTGGGTGTTCTCTCTCTCCTGGGGCTGAGGCCAGCGCCGGGGCCGGGCGGCCATGTGAAGGGACAGCTCCACGCGTGTCCCCTCCTCACAGGAAAGGACCAGGACCGAGCAGAAGAGCCTGTGCGGGCAGCCCCGGTCCAGCTGGGCTGGAAGACAGGGCAGAGGCAGGGCCCGTGGGGGCCGGAGCCCAGCTTTGAGGTGGCTGTGGCGGGCAGCAGGGCACAGGGGCCGGGCAGTGGACCTGGGTTTGTGGTTGGAGCAGCCGCTCAGCCTGGGGTTGGCTTGGCTCTCACCTCCGGCGGGGGGGGGCTGTGCCTTTTACCTCAGCTCTCCCTCCCCAAAGCCGAACAGGACCCAGACGCCAGTGCCAGCTTGAGGTCCAGGACTCTGGGCTCCCCACCACTCCGACTCCTGCCATCCTCACAGGAAGCTTTCAGAGTGAGGAGAAAGCAGAGTGTCAGATGCTGTGTGGTGCTGGGCTCCTCTGCCAGCCGGTCACCTCGCGAATGGCAGTCTCTCCGAGAACGGCCCAGACCAGGTCCAGGCCTAGGCCATGGCGAGGCATGGGGGTGCCTGGCTGGGGGTCGGCAGGGACCAAAGCCACCAGAGGCCGCCGAGACCCACGCTGGTGGCCCTGCCCAGTGGCCTCCCGTCCTGTCCCTGCCCTCTCGGTTCCCAGGGCTCCGTGGCAGACACCAGGGCAGCTGAACCCCGCACTGGCCCTGTGGGCGCTGCCTCCTGCAGGCCCAGTCCTGCCTGCTCCTCCAGGCTGCCGGCGTGGCCGTGTCACCCCTGGCTCCACCTCAGCCCTTGCACGCCCTCCCCGGGTGTCCCTCTCGGGCTGTCCCACCACACAGATCCAGTCCCACCTCTGTCACGGGAAAGACCCCGACTTCCAGGTCCCGTCGGGTGCTGGGAAGGATGAGGGTGCTCTCCTCCCCCGCCTCCCGGGAACCCCAGACCAGCGGAGTGACCACCCTGCCCCAGCCCAAACCCGGTGTGCTGTGACCAGGCGCCGTGTCCTCCAGGGGCCCAGCGACCCACACGCTCGTCTGCCGCTGGCCGGGGCCCAGAGGGAGGCTTTCATGAGCGTCGCCACACGTGGGCCCCCGCCGCCAGCGGTCACGGTGCAGGTGGCAGCAGTGGGACGACCCAGGTGGTGGCAGCCGGGCTGTGGAGGGCCTGGAAGGGTCGGGGCTGGAGCCTACACCTTCCCGGCCCAGCAGGTGGTGTCTACACAACCCCGCAGGCTCTGCCCAGCCTCATGGGGGCCACGCTGGCCACCCAGGGACGGCAGCCAGGCCTGGACGCCCCAGACACAACTGTCCCTGCAAGTGATGTGTGACCTGCGCTCTCACCTCTGCCTTGCTCTGAGTCCTGTCTGAGAGCTTTGTTTTGTTGTGTTTTTGTGGTACCGGGGATCGAACTCAGGACCCTGCGCTTGACAGGCAGGCGTGGCACCACTGAGCTACATCCCCGGCCCCGAGAGTTTTAGTTCGTGACCACAAAGGGTGTGGCAGAGCAGCACAGCCCCGGACGTCCCTCTGTCTGTCCCCTCACAAGCGTCCTGCCCCAGTGCCCGGCCCGCTGACTGCTGGCTTGGTGGGTGCCGAGCACAGCCAGGCCATGTGCATGGACAGGGGCCTGAGGCAGAGGGTGCCGGCTGGGGGCCCCCCAGGGCCATGAAGGAGTGGCGGGGTTGGATTTGGGTTGCCTGCCCGGCAGGGCCCAGTACCGGGAGGCGTTGACCAAGGCCCAACTGGAGCCCAGCTGGAGGAGCTGGAGGGGCAGCCCTGGCCTGGGTCCCAGCCCGTGGGAACCTGGTGGCTGAGCTCACCCTCCAGCCTTCCGTGAAAAAATGCAGTTAATGAGCAACTGTTTAGCCCGTAAAAAACAAACAGGCCTTTCACTTTGCTGAAAGGCCGCCTGCCGCCAGCAGAGCTGTCCTGGGTGGGGAGGCCATGTCACCTCCACTGCCCTGCCCCGCGCGCAGTGCCAGGCAGGGCTCTGTGCACGACCTTCCCCAGCCCCGGAGGGTCCTGGGCTGTGTGACCACAAAGGACTCACTGATCCTGCCCAGGAGCCGCTTCCCAGGGCTGCCCTGGAGACCCCGCTGCATTTCTGACCCGCAGCTACGCCCTTCACTGTGCAGCAGCCCTCCCCGAGTGGACTGCCCCCACTGTATTCCGGCTCGTGGGAGTCGGTGTGCGTCCGTCTTCCGGGGAAGGAGAAGCAATGCACAGGGCCAGCCCAGGTGGGTTCCTTCCCTGGCTGGAGGGCCTGTGCCTGGGCAGAGGGGCAGAGGGGCAGAGGGACCCCGAGTCCTGGAGGCAGAGAGTGCATTTCTTGAAAAGTGCTGGGGACAAGTTTGCAAAGCAGCACTGATAGCAGGCGTGGCTCCGTGTCATCAGCTCTAGCTTCTCTTTTTGTAAATGACAAATATCTCCTTGGAAAATGCGCTTTAGAGATGCACAGAAATTTGTTGAAGAAATGCTTTCATCAAATACGTGAAAAGCCCTGTCTCATTAAAGATCAAATAAATGCAATTTAAGCAGCATGTTGTATTACACAGCTAGGCAGGTGTGATGTGGTTTTACAGCTCTATTGAGAGAAACCCCACACACTGCAGTTCACCCACCGAGAGCACACAGCTCTGGTTTTTAGAACGTCGAAAGGTGTGTGCTGCCATCACTGCAGTTGGCCTTAAACATTTCATTATTTCAGAAGTAAACCCGTTAGCTCTCACCCTGACCCCCTCCTTCCTCCCCTGACCCTGCCCAGTCACTCATCCACTTTGTGGAGTAAGTTTCCCTACTCTGGGTGTTTTCTCTGAATGAAGTTGTGTACCATGTGGCCATTGGCTTCTTTCCCTCAGCGTGACGTTTTCAAGGTTCACCCACACTGTTTATGGCTGAATAATATTCCCTTATGTGGATGGACTACATTGTGTGTATCCATTCAGCAGTTGCTAGATTTTGGATTGTTGTCACCTTTTGGCTATGGTGAGTAGTGTTACTATGAACGTTCATGTTCAAGGGTTTCTGTGGACATGTTTTCATTTCCCTTGGGTGTCTGCCTGAAGTAGAATTCTGGGACATATGGTTTCTCCAGACTGGTGCACTGTTTTACATCCCCCAGCATTGTGTGAAGTCTCCAATACTGAGGCTTCTTGCCTGGCTTTTTAAGTCCAGACATCTGCATGGGCATGAGTTCCTGCCTCCTGGGCCGCGCCTGCGTTTCCATGTGGTGGGGACAGTGAGCCGCTTCTCGTGCATTGTGGCGATGTGTGTGTCTTCCTGGAGAAATGTGTCTCCAGATTCTTTGCTAACTTAAATGGATTGCTTTTCTTTTTATTATTATGAGTTCTTTATATATTCCGGATACAAGTCCTTTACTGAGTGACTGATTTGCAGATATGTTGTCCATTCTGTGGGTTCTCATTGAACTTGCTAGAAGTACAATAGGTTCACACTTTCCTAAAGTCCAGTTTACCTCCCCCATCCCTTTCCTCCATGGCTTAGGCTTTTCAGTGTTGTGTCTAAGAATCCCTCGCCAAATCCAAGGTCATCAAGATTGATTCCTGTGGTTTCTTCTAAAAGTGTTCTGTTTTCAGCTCTTTGACCCATTTTAAGTTAGTCTCTGTGTATGGTGTGAGGTAGGGGTCCAGCCTCATTCTCCTGTATGTGGCCGTCCAGTTTTCTCAGCATCCTTTGTTGAGCAGACTGCTCTTTCCCCACTCCATGGCCTGGTCACTCTTGTCGCATGTCGGGTGACCATAGATGAGTGTTTCAGAACACTCAGTGCTCTCCACTACAGAACTCTCCCTTGCTCTGGTCTGCATGTCTTTCCTTGTCCCTACACTGTGCTGCTCAATCACCACTGCCTCTAAATTGGAAGGTCCAAGTCCTTCAATTTTGCTGTAACTCAAGGCTACGAACAGTTGTGCACTGACAAACTAGATGACCAAGGCAGTCGCAAGATCCCTAGAAAGACACCAGTCAAGCTGACTTGGTAAGAAATACTTTTAATGGATGTATAACAACTAAAGAGTAGAATCAGTAATCCAAGAACTATCCAAAGAGAAAAGCCTAGAAACAGGACCAGATAGCTTCACTGTTCACTCTACCAAACATTTAAAGAAGAATTAAAACCAATTCTTCACAAACTTGGAACACTTCCCAATTCATTTTATGAGACCATTATTATTACCCTAATTTCTATATCAGAAGGAAATGTAACAAAAAATCTACAGATCAATTTTACTTATAAATATGGACACAGAAAACATTAACAAAATACCAGTGAAGCAAATCCAGCAACATGAACAGGATTGTGCACCATGGCCCAGGAATGCAAGGTTGGTTTAATACCAGAAAGGCGATCTCACACATCCTGTCCATAGAGAAGTAATTGTCACATGGCCTCAGTAGATCCAGACTAGGCATTTGACAAAATCCAGCACACTTAGTGAAAAACACTCACCAAACTAGGAATAGAGGGAAACTTCATCAGCTGAATAAAGGACATCAGAGCAGCACCAAGAGCCACGTCAGACCTCATGGCAGGAGGCTGAGGAGCAAGGCAGGATGTCCACTCCGCACTTCTGTGCAACACCATCCCGGAGGCTGGAGCCAGGGCAATAAAACAAGAAGATGAAACACATTGCTACTGAAAAGCAAAACAGAAAACAATCTGTGTTTGCAGACAGCAGATCTTGTATATGCAAAGTCCTGGGGAACCCACCGAAAAATTTTAAAGCTAATACATGAGTTCAGCAAGGTTATAGGACTTAAAATAAGTATACAAAAACTAGTTGTATTTCTGTATGCTTGTAATGAACAGCTGCAAAATGAAGTTAAACTGGGCATGGTGGCACATATCTGTGATCCCAGCACTCAGGAAGCTGAGGCAGGAGGGTGGCTGTGAGTTTGAGGCCAGCTTGAACTACACAGTGAGACCCTGTCTCAAAAAACAAAAACCAACCCCCCAATAAAATAAATAAATAAACAAATGAAATCAATGGGAAAATTCCATTGGCAATAGTATCAAAACTAACAAAATACCAGGAATAAATTGAGGAAAAAATTGTAAGATTTATACCCTGAAAACTACAAAACAATGTTAAATAGATCAAGAAATAAATGGCAGGCTCCCCTGCCGGTGGATTGGAAAATGTAACACCCCTTACAGCCCTGTCAGGACTACAGGTCAGCTGGGCCATCCAGATCCCGGCCAGGGGGGACTGGAGGCTGACTCACAGTCACTCGGAATTCACAGGAGCCGAAGACCCAAAGTAGCCCTGACAGCGAGCAGGGGGACTGTTGGTTCCCAGCCCCGCATCGTGAAAACTCAGACCCAGGTGAGTAGCACGTGCTGCTACACACCTGTCACTCAGCCTCCATTTTTATTTTTCATTTGACCAAATTGAATTTTTATTCTTTTAAAAATATATTTTAGTGCCTATTAACTTTATGAAATATTGGGTTTCAGTGGTCTTTTCATCTGTATTTGATCATATCCGTCCCTTCCGTCCCTCCCTCCCTCCCTCCCTCCCTCCCTCTCATGTGCTGCCTCCCTTCTCCTTCCATGCTGCCTTTTTTCGGTTTCACATATTAAGGGAAACGTGATTCTTGCCTTTCTGAGTCTGGCTTACTTTGTTTAGTGTGATGATCTCAAGTTTCTCTCATTTTCTGCGCATGACATAATCTCATTCTTTCTGGGTGAATAGTCTCCATTGTGTGTGCATTTCTTTATCCATTCATCTGCTGGTGGGCCCTCCGGCTGCCTGTATCTCCTCCGTTGTGAATATTGCCACAATAAATATGGTGCACAGGGGTCCCCTCCATGTGCTGACTTTATTCCCTCGGGTGTATTTCGGCTGGGTCACAGGGCAGCTGTAGTTCTAGTTTTTGAGGAAGCTCATACTGACGTCCCCAGTGGCAGTGCAGTGCAGACCCACCAGGAGCGTTAAGGGTTCCTTTTGCCAGCTGTGTTTTGTGCTCTTGGTGATATCTATTCCGCCTGGGGTGAGATGGACTCTTGAAGTAGTTTTGATTTGCATTTCCCTAATGGCTAAAGATGTACATTTTTTCACATGCTTATGGGCCATTTGTAGTTCTTTTGAAGGGTCTGTTCAATTCATTTGCCATTTATTGGTTTTTTATTAGTTTTTATTTCTTTATAGAATCTGGGTATTCCTCCTCTGTTGGAGAGTAGCTGGGAAGGACTTTCTCCCACTCTGTGGACAGCCTCTTCACTCTGTTGGTTGTCTCCCTTGCTGTCTGGAAACTTTAATTGGACACGGTCCCATTGGATTCTCGCTCTTAGCTCTTGTGGTGTCGGAGTCCTGCAGGACACCTGTCCCTGTGCCTGTGGCTTCAAACGTCTCCCGCTTCCTTCCAGCGGTGCCAAGGTTTCAGGTCTTATACTTAGGTCTTCCGTGCATCTTGAGTTGACTCTTATACAGGTGAGAGACAGGGATCCAGTTTAATCTTCTATGTGTGGTGTCCAGTGTCCCTTGGGCTGTGTGTTAGACAGGCTGTCCCTTCTCCAGTGTGCTTTCAGCTCCTTCTCCACACTCAGAGGGCCGTGGTGGCATGGATTTGGTCCTGTGTCCTCTGTTCTGTTCCAGTGGCCCACACTCCTGTTTTTATACGAGTGTTATGCTGTTTCTGTTACTGTGGCTTTATAGTATAGTTTGAAATCAGATATTGTGGTGCCTCCCCCTGCCTTTTTTCCTCACCATTGCTTTGGATCTTCTGCGTCTTGTATTTCCAGGTGAATTTAGGGTTGTGTTTTCTACTTCTGTGCAGGCTGTCTTTGCAGTTTTTTTGGGGGGGGGGCGTGGTACCGGGGATCAAACTTGGGACCTTGCGCTTGTGAGGCAGGTGCCAGAACCACTGAGCTAAATCCCCGGCCCCTAATGTCATGGCAGTTTTGATGGAGACTGCATTGACTCTAGCTCTCTTTCGATGGCCATTTTAGCAATATTAATTGTGCAGAACGTTCAGGCACAGACGGGTTGCCGGGGTTCTGGGGGCGCTTGCTTTATCATCACTTCAGTTTTGAAGCTGGCACCATTTGCCACATTTCTCTGGGTGCAGCTGATGCTTCGGTCCAGGTCTGTGTCCACACACACACGTGTCACACACGTGGGCATCCAGTGGTGTGCACAGCCTCTACACCCATGCATGCCTGCCCCTGCCTTCACGCACACAGCCATGCGTACAAATCTGCACACACTCACACGTGCACAAAATCTATGCACATGCAGGTCCACACACAGGAGTATGCACACACGTCCACGTGGGCAGGTTGGCACTCAGGTGCATGCACATTCCCATGTCCACGCACACAGCTTTTTGCAGTGAGTTGCAGCAGCCTGACGGCCATCCGAGCCTCTTCCCGAGGGCCAGGCTTCCTGCAGTCACAGTGCTGTTGCCACGCCCCACCGCCTGACACAGTTCAGTCTGTCCTCTGACCAGCAGGCCCGACCCACGTCCCCCACTGTCCCGATCGTGTCCTTGATGCTACAGGGTTGCATTTCTTTTTGCCTGTCCTGGGATCCTAAGGTACTGGACGTGTCGGAGGTGGCCCTGACCCTGGAGCTCTCCCTCTGCAATGCCCCCTCCTACAGTCCATCTTTGCCAACCCGGGGCCTCTGGAGTCCCCCCACCTGTCGGTGGTGTCCCATGCTCAGGACAGGTCCAGCTGCTTCCTTGAGTTTGGATCAGGCTTTTTCTGGGAGCGCTGGTGTGGAGGGGCAGGCACCAGGTGCTGACAGGAAGCGGCCCCCCCATGCCCACCCTGGGGGCTCAGCACTCGGCCTCCCGCCCCACACTGTTCCCTTCTGGGCAGCTGTGGTGGGGCTGGTCCTGTGCTCTCCGGTCTGTAAACCCCTCAGCCGGTGGGGGTCCTGAGGAGCCCACCCTGCCGCCACCCTCCCTCATCCAGTGCCTGCGGTGCTTGGTGATTCTTTGGGTGCCTGATGGGTTCTGTCTGATTTGCAGTCACCCAGTGGAGAAATTTGGGTTCGGGGCTGGCTGCCAGATGGTGGGGGGTCTGAGCCCATGAGTGGAACCTGCGGGCAGTTCCAGGAGGGTGGCTGTGCTGGGCCCTGCCTCAGTCACGGCTGAGCAGGAAAGTGGGCAGGCTCCAGGTCCCCAGTCAGAAATCAGATGGGTGTGGCAATGCTTCCTCAGGCCCCGGAGTGGTGTGCTGGTGTGTGGAGTGGCGTGTGTGGTGCTGGGGCTGGGGGGGGCCCCAGGTGATCCGCAGGAGGTGCCACGCCTCCAGCCGCCTCCCTGTGTGTGCCTCGGGGCAGTGGCCGGGGGTCAGAGCTGCGAGGTAAGCCAGCCTGGGCCCTGAACAGCCAGTTTGTGAGCCTCCAGCATGCCCCACAAGACTCGGTCCATTGTCATCCTGGCCTGAACAGTGGCCAGGAGTCAGAGTCCAGTAGCACGGCAGAAACGCAGGACAGTCGTCCACCAGTGGGCCCTGAAAGGTGGAAAGTTGTTTTACGTTCCCCAGGCAGTGTGGAAAGGTCGCAGGCTCGCGTCTTTGCTGGATGTGCCGTCCCTGGGAGCGGGAGCCGGCAGGGCACTGCGTGTCCAGGCTCAGGCCGGCTAGGACCCGCTTTGGGACTGCCAGGCCCTCCACCGGGCGCTTCGCAGAGAGGACAGTCCTGGAGCAGGCAGCCCAGGCCTGCAGCAGCTGTGGTGGCTGCCAGGGTGTGCAGCGGCTGTGCCCTCTGGAGTGTGGGGTTGCAGGAACAGTGGGGTGTTGGGAGTTTGCCAAGTGGAAGCCCCTGCGGAAACAGTGCGGTCCCGTTTGGGTCCCTGCCCCAGTTGTGGCAGCTCCCAGGAGTCCCTGGGCCCGGCCTTGCACCAGCAGGGACTCCCCGAGGCCGCACCGGAGGACCTGCTGCCTGTGCCGCCCCCAGATTGGTGCTTGCCTGGCCGCTCTGGGAACAGATCCATCCACGTCTCCTCCGCAGCATCTCTGCTCCCCAGCATGGCAGGCAGGGCGCAGCATGGGTGGGTCCAGGGAGACTCGAAGGTCCCCCAGGGGCCTCAGGGAGGTGGATGCCCAGACTTGGGCCTTGGAGGCCCACCTAGGAGGGGTCTGGGCAGAGCGCAGCTGGGCAGCCAGACTCTGGGCCTTGCCAGCACAGGGCAGCGGGTCCTGGGGCGGGGTGGTTTTCCCAGGCTTTGAGCCGCAGGCCACTGTGGGAGGCGACTTGATTTCCAGGGTTCACGCTGTGGGGGTCTCTGTGTGGGCGCCTGTGTGCATCGTGAGTGTCCCAGCCACACAGCCAGGGGCCACTGTTACTATGCACTGTTGTCTAGTGACAGAGTCATACTTTCTCTTCAGGCTGCCAGGGGAACAGAGTGGAGTCAGCCCCAGGTCAGACTCACAGGCAGGCTGGAAAGCCATGGCCAGTGCCCAGAGCTGTGGCGGCACCTGGCACTGGCCGTGTCCTCTCTCCTGGGGTCCTCTGCCTGAGTAGGATCTGTTCCCTCTGTCCTCCTTCCCTCTGGATGAGTCCCCCTCTCTAGGGAGCTAGGCGCTGTTGGGACCTCCTGTCACGTGAGCCCAGCCATCCCCATTCGCCCTGCACCTGCGTGAGCCTGGGGCTGCAGGAGACCAGCCAGGCCTCGAAAGAAAGGGGGCGGTGACACCCTGAAGGCCCCAGTGTCCAGGCCATGCTGCTCGCAACGGGCACCTGGCTCTGAGCACAAACGGTGACACGGGAATGGCTCAGACAGGACACTCACAGCCAGGGCAGGGCAGAGAGCTGGACCGGAAGCCCGTCTACTCCCAAGTGCTCTCTGAGCACGTGTGTGCTCAGGTGGGCAGTATGTGCACGTGTGTGTGCCAGGCATAGGCGCCCTGCATTGGTGCAGGGCATGCCCGGTGGGGCTCTGTCCTGGGGCCTGAGCAGCGACAGTGCAGCCTCGGTGTGCCTTCCTTCTCTTGCCAGACCCCGGAGGTTCTGCACTAAACGTGGACATAGGGCCAGTGGGGCCCAGGAGCGACTGTCTGGCACCCAGGGTCACCAGTGCAGGGCCAGCCCCGGGCGCCCCTAACTGTGAGGCATGGGGAGGCAGGATCTGGGTTCCCTCTCCCTTCGGGGCCCGGAGGCGTCTGGGGTTTCTGCCCTGAGACTGCGCAGTTATGCTGAGGCAGAGAATCACATTAGCAGCAGGGATTTCCAGCAGAGACGGTTCCTGGTCATCTCTGGACCTCTCCACGCATCTCGGGGATTAGCTCTGGGAATGCGGCTGCCCTGTCGTGCGCGGACACCACGGTCGGCTGTTGGAAGCTGTCCTGGTCCCAGAGTCCGAGCCCTGCCCTTTGGCCAGCGATCATGGGCTCCTCAGTGTTCCAGAGACAGCTGGGACACGTTCTGGGGCTGTTTCGTCACAGCTGCAGCCCAGCTGCAGAGCCAGGCTGGAAGGTGGCATTGGCCCTGGCCCCACCGCCTGCAGAAGGCGGCCAGGAGGGACTCGGGCAGAGGGGAGGGGGTGGGCAGGCGGGAGCCGTGCTTGCTGGAGTGTGACTGTGAGTGTGTGCATCATGTGTGAGTGTGGTGCTGCCTGGACCCGCCTCTCCTGGCCCTGTGCTATGAGGTGGACCCTCAGCCTGTGCCTCAGAATCTCCATTTGTAAGATGGGTCCCGATGGGGCACCTAGCACCAGGCCTGCACTCCACAGGGGCTTGAGCTTTACGCGTGGCCCAGGACATCACTGGTTCTGAGGGACGCTCTGGGTGGGTCAACTTGCTGCTGTCCAGCCAGGTCCTTTTGTTGATGGGGAAACTGAGGTGCAAGGGAGGGGCAGTTAGCAGAGTCACTGTTGAGGTGGTGACTGGCGCTCCTCCTACCCCCACAGGTGCTCAGGTGGGGAATCAGGCGGCACAAGCAGGTGAAGCCAGCACCGGAGGAGGCATGGGACCAGCTCCACGCACCCCTTTAGCCCAAGGGGCGCCTGGGCCCCACCACCCAGCCCCGTGCCCTCCTGGCTTCCTGAAGCAGCAGCAGCTCGGGCACTCTGTCCCTGTCTAAGGACCACACTCCCAGGCCCAGACGCCGGAGCAGCACCGTGCCTGCTGGGACCGAGAGCTGGGTGCGCTGGCCTGGGGTGGCTCAGCCACAAGTAACTGGCACACAAGGTGCTGCTTCTTCCTGGGTAGAGCCTGAGCCCCCGGGTTGGGGCTGTGGCTGCTCCAGGCTGGAGCGGTCGGCGGTGAGGGACGTGACCTATAGAGGCTGCCTGTCCCTCCCTCCCGAGCCCCGGCCCCTGCCCTGGTGTGGAGGAGGAGCTGCTGAGTCTGAAGGTGGGGTGGTCACCTCGCTTCCTGGGCCGGGCTGCTTGCCTTCTGCAGCAGTGGCCGGAAGAGCGGCCAGGCTGCCAAGTGAGTGCGGGCGCGGGAGGTGCTGCCTGCCTGTCCTCCCCCTGGGGAAGAGTCGGGATGAGGCAGCCAGCAGGTCCCCAAGCCCAGCCCACGACCTCCGGGCTGGGTGTCCCCTCCAGGAAGGGGATGCTTCTGAAGGCCGTTCGTGTGTCGGTTTCTGGGCAGCGGCAGCCTCCTCCTCCCAGGGGCATGCAGGGAGGCAGCAGGCTTTGCCCTGCCGGCCGGGCCCAGTGGGAAAGTGGACAACGGGAAGGGCTGTGGGGCACCAGGTGCGAATGTGCGTCAGGAAGTCGGGTTGGGGTGATACAGAACCCCACAGAAAGGCAAAACCCTCAGCTGTTAGCGTGGTTTTAGCTGCGTCATGCAAACTCCTTACTGTTTACAACTTCAAATGGAACCAGTCATGGTGGCAAAAGTCTGTCATCCAGCACTCGGGAGGGTGAGGCCCGAGGGTCACACGTTCAAGGGAAGCCTGGGTGACTGAGTGAGACCCTGTTTCAAAATTTAAAAATTGTAAAAGGGGGTCGGGGATTTAGCTCAGTGGTTTTACCGCCTGCTGTGCCAGCGCCAGGACCCGAGTTCGATCCCCAGTACCAAAAAAAGAAAAAAAAAAAGATAAATATTGTAAAAGGACTGTGGATGTAGCTTCTTGTGCAGGCCCTGGGTTCAGTGCCCAGTACAGCAAAAACAGCACCATCAAAATTCCCACCAAAGGCCGTGTGTCCCTCAGCCTACCCACTGTCCCTGGACGGCCGGGCTCCGAGAAAAGAGCCTTTCACTCTCGGGGCGCCTCGCGTGGCGGGTCCTGTGCTTTCGGAGCCACGGCCTCACAGACCTGCAGCAAGCGTTCCTGTCGATGTCCACCTACTCATGGTTGGCCAGGATCCGAGTCTCCCAAGACTTAGCTCAGAGGTACCAGCAGGACCCAGAAGGCCAGAGTCCTGGGGAGTCACGGGGGAGAAGGGTGCCCCTCAGGTCCCGGGTCTGAGTGGGAGGCTGAGCCTGGGCAGATGTGGGGCCCCGCCCTCTGCATTCCCCTTGCCGTCTGAGGCAGCAGTCGGATCGGAATTGGAATTGCAAGGCGCTGAGCATTTTTAAAGTTCCAATTTTACCACAGAGCAGTGGCCCCAGGCCAGGGCTCCAGCTTTCTGGGCTGTGGGAGGCTGGGCTAGCTGCTGCCTTGGTGTCCCCGGGGCTTGGTCCTGGCCTGAGGCCTCCAGGCCCACACACCCCAGCCTGCACTGCCGGCCAGACTCCAGCCAAGACTCCACCCACATTCCCGAGACCCGGCCCCTGCCCTGGTGTGGAGGAGGAGCTGCTGAGTCTGAAGGTGGGGTGGTCCCCTCGCTTCCTGGGCCGGGCTGCTTCCCTTCTGCAGCAGTGGCCGGAGGAGCGGCCAGGCTGCCAAGTGAGTGCGGGCGCGGGAGGGCGGAGCGCCCGGCCCCTCCTCCCTGGTGGCAGAGGCCGCCCTGCCCTTCCGCGAGCACAGCCCCGATGGCTCCCGACCCCAGCAGAGGCCTCCGCCTACTGCTGCTGGTCGCCTGCTGCCTGGCGCCCGCCCAGGCCACCCTGCTCCCCCTGGACTGGCTGTGGTCTTCGAAGATCAGCGGCTCCACAGCCAGCCCGGTCTCCCAGCCCCAGGGCCGCCCGTCCCCGGAGCCCACAGCGGCCCCCTCCACGCATGTGGCCCCCCAGCATGGCCCCCTGGAGCCAAGGACCGTCCCTGCCAGCACCCGGCCGGCCTCAGAGGGACAGGCGGCCGCCTGGAGCGAGGCCCCTGCTGCCCAGGCTGCCTCCACCGCGAGCCTGGACCCCAAGGAGGAGAACGTCGGGGGCGTGGGCGCCAGGATCCTGAACGTGGCCCAGGGCATTCGGAGCTTCGTCCAGCTGTGGGACGATGCTGCCCCAACCGGGACCTCCGCTGCCGTGGGGACGCCTGGCCCCGCGCCCCCCGTGGACCCGAGCGCCCTCGCTGGCCCCTCTGGCGACCCCCAGGACAGCAGCGCTGCTTCGTGGCCTAGTCCTGGAGCCCCAAGCCTTCTGGGCCCTCGGACAGCCAAGGCCGGTGCCCTGGCTGTGCCCGCCTGGCCACCTCTGTCCCCAGCACCGCTGAGGGGACCCCCCGTGCCACCTGCGTCCCCAGGTAGAGCTTCTCTGTCTCCCTTGCCAGGCGGGGCCCCTCCCTGGGGCAGCCCGCGGCCCCCGGACCTGGACACGGAGGCTGGTGCTCAGCAGCGCGGACGCCCTGACTCCCGCCGGGTGCTTTCTCTGGTGATGGCTGCTCCCTCTGCCCTGCCCGCCGGCCCCTCCGCCTGGCGCTTTCTGGTGGCTGCGGAACCTTCCCCTGGGGACGGCAGTGCTTGGCTCTCTCCCAGGGCTTCTCCCAAGGGGCCTGGGCTCACTACGCGCTCGGCCCTGCCGGGGGTCAGCCCCCCAACGCCCGGCGGCCGCTGCCTGCCCCTGACGCCCACCCTGCCCATCTGCGGCCACCTGGGCATCGGGCGCTCCTGGCTGCCCAACCACCTGCGCCACGGGAACAGCGAGGAGGTGCAGGCGGCCGCGCAGGCGTGGGGGGGCTCCTGTGGACGCACGGCCACCCCTTCCTCGCCTGGCTCTTCTGCCTGCTGCTGGCGCCCCCCTGTGGCCCAGGCCCGCTGCCCCCCCTGCCGCCCTGCCGCCAGTTTTGTGAGGCCGTGGAGGACGCGTGCTGGAGCCGCCTGGACGGGGCCCGGCTGCCTGTGGCCTGTGCCTCGCTGCGTGCCCAGGAGGACGGGCTCTGTGTGTTCATTGGGCCGGCAGCAGGTAACGCCGCCCGGCCCTCCCCCCGGTGCCCGGCCAGGTGAGCTGGCTCGCTGTGACCGGTGCAGCCCGGCCTTGCTGGTGGGCACGGGCCCCCTGCAGGGAGGGCGCTGGGGCTGGGGAGACATGGCCGCAGGCCACAGCGGCAGGCACCTGGGATGTCACCAAGAGGGGACAGGGCCACAGGCTCTGCTAGTGCCAGGTGATTGGGGCACCCGTGTGCCCTGTGCCCCCTGCGCTTTGTCGTGATTCAGTCCTTGCCGTCGCTCTGGGACAACCCACCATCCCCTCAGTCACGGCTGGGAAACTGAGGCACAGAGCCGCAGCATTGCCGTGTTCACGTTCCTTACGCTTTACCATTTCAGCTGGGTTGGGCCCCTCGGCCTCTTCTGGTCGCATTCTAGCTCCTCCTCCTTGGCCACTGTGTGCCTGGCAGCCTTGGCCGATGAAGTGGCCTTGACCCGGGTCGGGGTGGCCCCGGCCTGGCGGATGTGACCTGGGTGGCTGCGTGTGTGTGTGTGTGTGTGTGTGTGTGTGCGCGCGTGTGCGTGTGTCTGAGCACGCAGCCCTGCTCCCGGCACCTACACACCCGCTGCCTCTGAGCAGCCAGGCCCGCCCAGGCCTCCACGCAGGGCTGACCTTACCACAGCTGGGGGAGCCCCTCGCTCTGGCCCCCTGTGAGGAGGCTGTGCTGTGGGAGGCCCATGCAGCTCCTTCCTGAGGAGCCAGGCAGGGAGGTGGGGTTGGGGCCCTGCCCCCTGCACCCCAGGCTCAAGCTCGGGAAGCCAAGTCTCCCAAGCGTGAGGCTCAGTCACGTGGGGCTCAGGCTGGGCTGGCTCTGGGCGATCCTAGGCCCAGGCAGGGGAGCGTGGGCGAGGAGCCTCTCCCACTGCAGCCCGCTGGCCAGTGGCGCCTGAAAGGGACTTTTCAGAGAACATCTGGACAATTGGCCGTGTCCCCAGCAGGGCCCAGGGGGCTGTTCTAATGGGCCACATCCCCCAGGCCAGAGGGTGTCATGCATCCTCAGGCCAGGACCTCCCAGGTGCAGCTGGCAGGGGGAGGGGCCCCCGTCCTCGGCCCCTCCCTGGGTCCTCCATAGGATGGTCCCACTCCTGCAGGGCACTGTCACCCAGCTTGAGGCAGGCAGGATAGAGGCCCCAGGGGGACCAGAAGGGACCTGGTGCCTGGTCCCTCGGAGATGGCACTGGACCCTGGTCCTCCTGCGGCAACCCCAGCCTTGTGGTCAGAGAGGAGCTGGGTGGGGGAGGAGCTCCTGCAGAGGGACCCACAGCTCTCGGCCCCTGCACGCCTGCTCAGGGACTCTGGTCCCTTCCCTGTGAGTGCCCTCCGCTCTCAGGCTGGCCTGTCCCCTGGTCCCACACTCCACTGTGCATGAATAGTGCATGCATACCTGGGCCCACGCACTTAGTTCTGCACACCACGGTGCACACCTGGGCCTGCAGGGGTGCTGCACCCAGGCCTCACCTCTGCTCGCTCACTCCAGGCCCTACTGCCCCTTCCGCAGCTGCTGCAGTGACCCATGCCTGCTGCTGCCTCCACAAGTGGATCCTGGGTGCCGGGCCTTGCTCAGCCCCTCTGGGCCTTGGGAATGACCTGGCAGGGGCAGGAGGCGCCCTGAGGGCCACCACAGGGCAGTGTCATTGTCTTGTGCAGGTGCGGCCCATTGCTGCCTAGTTAACTCGAGGTTTCTGCTCAGCTGATTCGAGGAGACAGGGATTTCTCCATGGAGAAATACCTAGGTGCTCATCTCATGCTCGGCAACCTGCAAATACTTTTCCTACGAGCTGACTGAGCTTCCCACAGGCTCCGTCTGCCCAGACGCAGCAGCTGTGACGGCAGGGCCAGCCCTGCGGGGATCGGGCCTGGTGTGGGCTGGGCGCAGGCATCCTGAGGTGTACGAAGCGAGGTTTCACACGCGCATGTCCTGAAATGCTCACCACAGTCGAGGTGAGCGACAGCCCTGTCCGTGGCAGGGCTGGTGCACTGCAGCTCTGTTGCCAGTCCCCTGGCGGGGCGCTCGGTCCCCGGAGCTCTTTGATTGGTGTCTCCTCACTGGGGCTGTGTGGGATTTGTCTTTCTTGGTTCACCGGCACCATGCTCTCCAGGTCATCCCTGTCGTCGAGCTGACGAGCTTCCCTTCCTGCTCTCTGTAGAGTGGTGCTGGTGTCTGTAGCAGGCTTTCTCTGCCCGTTACCCGTCGTGTGCACGTGGGTGGATTCTACCTCCTGGCTTTGCGACAAGTGCTGCAGTAAGCATCAGGGTGCTGGCACCCCTTCCACGGCCAGGCTCAGTTCCTGTGGGTGTGTGTCCCGGAGGGGGCCCTGGGTCACGGGGTCCGTTCTGGCGTTCAGTGACCCTGCCTGCTGCTTCCCTAATGGGAGACCTGGTTACATCGCCCCACCAGTGCAGGCCCCTTTCCTCCTTGTCACCAGCTGCCATCGCTTGCCGTTTTGATCCAGCCGCTAGCAGAGGCGAGAGGCGAGGTAGCTTCGTCTGCGCTCTCTGATGGTCAGTGAGATGAGCCTCTCACGTAGCCGTGGGAAATCTGCATCTTCCAGAAATGTCTACCACACCCTGGCCCATTGTTAAGTTGGGTTACTTGGCATTTTGGACGCTGGCCCCGTGTGCCCCGTGTCAGTGGGGTTTGCAGAATGCCCCCTGCCCAGGCCAGGTGTCCCTCCTGCTCCCCAGGGTGCATGCCGGATGCAAGGTCTCCCCAGGGCCCTGTCAGCACTGGGGTTGCCCTGACCTCCGGGCTCACTGCGGCCCCTGGGGGCTGGAGTCCTGTCTTTTGGGGCAGGCCATGCTGCTGAGGCAGTGTGTGCGGACTGGGGCCTCAGCAGACGCAGGAAGCAAGCTCCGTCCGGTCCTCCGTCTCCCCGAGGAGGAGCAAGGCGGTGTCTGCCACGCTCCCCGCTGTGTGGCTGGTGGGGGCTCCACTCAGAGCCCAGTGAGCAGCTCCCTGGGCCTGCCCTGCCTTTGGTGAGGGACCCGTCCATCCTGCCATGGAGAAGTGGCTGTTACCAAACCTTTGTACGGTGGTAAAAGTGCCATCTTACCTATGGCTAGGTGTGCAGCTTCATCTTCCCACTGATGCTCCGCCCCCTGCAGGCCGACTCCCCTTCCTCTCTGGCCTGGTCCGTGCGCTCTGCTTGTCATCTCTGACTGCAGCTCTGGGCCTGCTGCGAGTAGAGCCGTGCAGTGTCGATCCTGTCTTGGGGTCTCCCATGCCACTGTGCCTGCATGTTCCTCCATGTTGTGGTCGTGTCCGAACGTCCCCTGTGGAAGGCAGGCTGGGGATGGTCCCTCCCGCACACGCTGGACCCTGTCTGCTCCTCCGTCCAGGGACACCCGCGATGCTGTCATGTCCAGGTGTCATGAATGAGGCCACTGTGAGCCCGGGGTATGAATGTCTCTGAGACCCTGCGTGCGGTGACCGAGTCCACGCCAGGGCTGCACTGCGTGTCACGGGTGATGGGAGCTTTAGCTCTTTGGTGAGCCCCCACCCCGTCCTGTTCCCACGGTGGTGGTGGCCCCTCCTTGGGTCCCCACAGCAGTGCAGGCGGTGCTGGCTTCCCCGCACCCTCACCAACACTTTCTGTTGCTTTTCGGCCTAAAGACCATCGTGTTGGGCCCTGCACAGGCGTGACGCGGCATGTGGCGTCCGATTCCCACGTCCCGCTGATCAGGGTGCTGATGCCGTCCTGCGCCCCTGGCCGCTGTCTTCGCCCCCTGGGGATGTCTGTGCCAGGCCCCTGCCAGGCTGCTTTGCTGTCGTCGCTGAACCTGAGGGGTTCTCCTGTGCTCTGGACACTAACCCTTCGGAGATTTACAATCTGAAAATACTTTCCCCCGTTCTGTGGGCTGTCTTTATTGTTTCTGATACAGAGTTTAAATTCTTTTCCACACAGCCTAGTTTGGGTGTTTTTCTTCATTGCCTGTGCATATGGTGTCATCCAAGAAGTCATCGCCAGACCAAATGTCCTGGCGCTTCTGGGCTTTGTGTTCTTTCGATGGTGTTGTAGCCAGGCCTTTCGTGTAAGTCTTTCTCCCTAAAGGAGAGCCAGGATGATCGGTGAGGTCCCCGCCTCGCCCGGCGTGCCCAGCACCGTCTGAATGAGGCTGGCCTGTCCCCTGGGGGTCATGGCACCTCGTCGGAAGACAGCAGACAAAGCCTTTCCTGGTCTCGAGGCCACTGCTCCCTCCTCTCTGGCTCTGCCCTTCGCTGCTGCAACAGGGCAGAAACTTCCGAGTGTGGAGACAGCAGCCGGACAGGTCCAAGCACGACAGCGCGGAAAGGAAATTACAAGCAGATGAGCCTTGAGGCGGCTTTCCTGCCGGGAGAGCGGTGTCCCCCAAGGGAGCGTCGGGAATCCCTGGCCGGGCTCAGGCTGGGCACCCGCTGGCTCCGGGCGACCACCAGCTCCCGGCCAGCGAGAGCCCACCGGGCACGAGCCACAGCCCCACACCCCAGTGCGCGTCCCCACTGTGCCAATTGGAGCCCCGCCCAAGACGGCACAGCAGCAGGGGACGAGGGCACAGCGGGGTGGCAGGATCCCCAGAGGAAGGCAGAGAGGCCCACGGGGTGCCGGGCCCTCCGTCCTCCTGGATGTCGGCGCTGGGTGACAGGATGGGTGTGGCCAGGCGGAGGCCTGCTCGCACTGAGCAGGGTAGCCTGGGGGTCTGTGCTGTGGGTTACAGTCTCCACAGTCTGCAGAGCACATGTGGAGACTGTAGCAGCTGGGTGCCAGCTTTTGGGGAGAGGAGTCACCCAGGTGTGTGGAGTATGTGCAGTGTGTGCACGGTGTGTACACGGGTGTGTGCATGAGAATGCATGTGTGCGGATGGTGCATATGTGGTGGGTGCCTGTGTGTGCATGAGTGTGTGTGTACATGAGTATGCACGTATGTGCATGGCATATGCATGAGTGTGCATGTGTGTACATGTGCAGTACACGGGACCCTGCCAAGATTAGAGACTGA